AGTACTACTGCAAACTGCACCTGCAGGCCTGATTCAACCCAATTAGACAAATCCCACACTGCTGGAGCGCTAAGCTCCCAAATAACCTTTGCACACATGACCGAGTGATTGAAGCTCAGCACAGCAGATGACAACAGAACCAGGTTGGAGAACTATGAGCAGAATCCCCCCCTAAAGGAGGTGAATGCATGTGGCCTGTATTCGTATTTGTAGCGAGCCGCTCCGTGTTCCTGTCGGCGCTGCAGCGAGCCGAGCCGCTCTATCCAAATCCCAACCGCAGGCAGACAGGTGTCTTCCAGGGTTCTGAGCCCGGTCACGGCCCAGCCGTGGGGGGGTCTATAGGGGGCCGGGGGCCCATGGCAGACTGCACCTGCGCTCAGCGGCGCCTGGCTTGTACAAACATGCACACACACACACACACGCACACACACAAGATGGCGTTGGCAGTCATAAAAAAAGTGTTCTCTCGGTCATGTGACTAGGTGTAAACATACATACGGGTCAGAACCAGGAGCTTAGGTTGCTCAAAACAGAGCATGAAATGATATTCATTGCTTTTTCATATCATTTTTAGAAGGTGCACTTCCATAACACCCACACATGCACGCACACACACACACACACACACACACACACACACAGTCGGCAGAACTGTGATCCCAGGTGCTGTGGTGTCTCGTGGCAGCGCAGGAAGAGGAGATGCCAGGCACGGCGAGGACGGGGGAGAGAGGAGGAGAAAGTTCAAGGAGGGAGATTTCAAGACCGCAAGTGAAAAGGAGACACAGCGTTCGGGGGGGTGGGGGGGGGGGGCAGATAAGTGACAGAAATGATGTGTAAACTAAACGTGGCCCAGATAGCAAGCAGAAAACAGAGCAGACAGCAGCGCTGTTGTCTGTTACACGTCGCTTCTTAAGATCTTTGATCTCCTCGAACTGAATCTAAAATATCTGTCGGCTTGGGTTTTCCTGCTGGTAATAGAGCAAGAAAACTGCCGGTTCTTTTAGCTCAGTGGCAGAGAAGAGATTACACAGAGCAACGTACTCTGATGATTCCATGTTTTAGGTTACAAATGTACCATTTAGTGCAAAATCCTCTGAAACGGCTTCCACGAGGTCCGGGCTTCCTCTATGGGCACAAAACAGCAGTGGAACATGAGCAAGACGATTTGCATTTACACTGTTGATGCTGTGAAATGTGCTACAAGTAATGTCGCAACATCTCTGAGATCGTATTCATTCAAGAGTCCTTTATCAATAAATCATTTATATTTATATAAATAAAGAATCTAAAAAACAATGAATTAATTGAAATCAGATCATATAAAACAAAAGCTATTAGCCTCTGCCATGAACGCTTTATCTAGATTGATAACAGGTACCCGCAGAATGATTTGACTTTTTTCAGGGAGCAGCATAAAAGTCCGTCCATCAATAATCAACCTATCTATCAATCAATCAATTAATCTTTGTTCAGCAGCATGTGTCCCTGCTAGTGAGGTGAGGTGGACTTTTAGTCTGTGAAGTCCATGTTTGTACTAGATTTTCTTGGGGGAATTTCAGTAGAAAAACACACATTTGGTCATTAATAACTTTGGTTCTGTCAAACTATGCCGTCTGGGAGAGATTCAAATAAAAAGTGTTCTTTCTGCATTGGTTCATTGGAGCTCAGTCTTTGGCCCGACTTGAAAAGCTTTCATTGGTTGTGACGCGCGATGACCTTCATCCCGAGCCAATGCTGATTGGCAGCCTCCCCAGGGAGCAACGGATTTTCAAAATATTAATTTAAGCCTAGGAAATTACCTTATTGTATTAAAATGGTAGCAGGTCCGTCCAAATCACACTTAATTACAGTGATATTTTAATTCCAGAAGTATGAAATAAAAACATGGAGGCTGCAGTAGAGATGCACCAAAGAGAGCAGAAGTCCAGCATCTAATTAAACACTTGCCTTAGACTGCATAGGTATAAACTTTGGACGTTTTAGCTTGAAATGATGTTCATGTGACAAATGCATCCAATGAATTTAAAGTAAAATATTTTATCGCCATTCAAGCAGACGTGACTGACATATAAACAGTACAGTATATAAACAGTACATATTATACTTATTTGATATATTTACTATATTATACTGAATGGCCTGAGAGGGTGACAAAAACAAGATATTTACTTTGTTTCATGTTCAATAAATATGAAATATTTCACTTCAAAGCAGTATGTGTTTTTGATAACTTAATTGTTTTGCATTAAATCGACAGGGGATGTTTGCTGAAAGTGGTTTGATTGCCCCACCGAGAACATTTTCCACCAGCCGCCACTGGAGCAGAGGGGAAAAAAAAGATTCTACTAGCATGACAAATACAATTTAACTCGTTCCAAAGTGTTGCAAATTCTGTTTGAGAAAAGAAAAGGGGAAAAAAAAACACCTTTGTTTGCAGCCCGACATTTCAAATCAAAGCACTTCTTCATCTCAAGGGCAAACGTTTCCCAAGCAGAAAATAATTAGCTTCAACAATATTCTGCTCTGAACTGGAACCCGAGTAATCATTTGAGAATGTAGACGCTAATGGAATCAGACTCATTTGTAGGTCCCTTACATCCAGACCTTGTGCTTTCTGCAGATGATGTTGTCTCCCTGGTTTAATCAGACGTGACCTCCCATTTGCAGATTGCAGCCGAGGGTCAAAGAGTGAGGATCACGCCTGCTCAGCTCAGGAGACCTCCATTTAAGTGACGGCTGAAATAAAGCAGGTTTTTCACGGTAAGAAGAAATATTAGTGAGGGCTGATTCCACTGTGGTGGAGAACAGTCTGCTTTGAGGAGCGTCCTGGGAATAAAAGACGAGATTCCGCCCCGGGGTGTTCAGCGCCCGCTCTCAGAAAGAGAGAAAAAGAGAGGGCGCCACGGCCAACGGGGAGCTGCTGCGCCTTCACACTGACCGGCGCTCCGTCAGCTGGTTCAGGCCGGAACGCACTTTCACCACTGAGAAGGTCAGGCCCAAAGAACGCCCCAAAAAACATAGAATAAAGCTAAATGCCTCACTGAAATGACACAGATAATACTGTGTATTATTTTATTCTACTTTCTAATTCTAGTTGTCGGTATTGACAAACTGATCAATTCTCTACCACCTGTGCAGAGAACAATCCTACTTGGTTTGGTGGAGGAAAAGTTTTTAAGATTCTGCAGCCTGAGTACTTAAAGTAGATCATAGTAGAATGATGCTTACACATGCATGCATCAGTACCAAAAATCAAGTCATATAATGTGTAATAATATGTCAATCACAGAGACGATTGTTCCACAGAACAAGTACTTTTACTTGTGATACTTTAAGTACAAAGTACTGGTAATTGATTTTGCACTGTTAATTAACTAGCGTTTTGAATTAGGTCGTTTTACTTGTAATGGAGCGTTTTTACATTGTTGTACTGGTACTCAAGTAAAGGTAATTAGTAAAACAGAAATATTAACGCTACATAGTATTTCCCATGACTTAAACATAAATGATTATTAATTAATGTTCTGATTGAGGCATTTCATGACCCTGTGAACACACTGTGAAACAGTGTAAAAAGAAACTGACTTCAAAGCATTCAACAGTCAGTCATGACAGCAGCAGCTCAGGGCACACTTCTCTCTCACCGTGTGAAGGAAGAATCCAGAGCTGAGGCCCATTGGCGATCACAGAATGGCGAGATGGGATCGTTCAGACGTCCGTGTGGGAGGCAGCGAGACGCAGAATGCGTGGATGGAGGGTAAGAGGGACACACGACTACGTCTTGGTATTGTGTGGAGAATCGGCCTGGTGTTAGTTTCCTAGGCAGTGCCTCGTCCCCTTTGAGCGGATATACCAGCAACGCAGTGCAACCAGATTAGATGGCAACTGCCCTGCTGACCAGACGGCACGAGACAACAGCAGCTTCCCCACCGGGCTCCCACAGAGGTTTAGTACATCACATACATTCTACATGATTTCTATTATTCGAGGTACATTAAAGAAACAGGATGGACATGTCTCAGTCTTTAATAGTCTCCAACGCAGAGCTTACTGAAGGCAAGGTGCCTGTAGGTTCGAATTCTTCTTTAATCGTTAACAACATCACGTCATGCCGCTGGCCCACAGTTACACCCTGCTGGTATGAACTACCTACGCTCGAGATACTCGATATTATTCTTAAAGTACGTTTCTCTACACACCTCAAGTTCTTAGGAGAGTACTCCTGACTCTGAAGAACGCCCCAAACACACATTATATATATATATATATATACTGTACTGAAAAGGTGAAGGACAATCTGACCATTCACAGCTTGGAGTGTCCCTATCTCTCCGTTAGCATAAAAACTAGACAAACCAGGCAAGAAGAGACCAATTCACGAACAGAGTAGTAGAATTTACAGACACGGAAACAGCAAGTTCCGCCCTGACGAGCAAACATAAGCTAGCGAATGCATCCTCCCGAGGCTGCTCATCATTCGTCCACCGATTGGGTCCCTTTGGCTGCGACCCGGCTGTCCCGTTCCGCCAGCTCCTCAGAATCGACTGCGCGCGAGCAGGCATCGGGGAGCAGACCCCCCCCCCCAAAAAAAGCTGTAAACGTAGGGAACAGGCTAAGTGGCTTTTCTAAAGCCACTTAGAGAAAAGGTGAAATCCATCTTTCAGCAAAGCTCCCATAATCGCCTGAGGGAAGTTTCCCAAGTCACACGTCCGTCTGTCTGCTAAAACTGAAGAATTGTCCACTTTGCCAGGAGTGGCTATTGTTAGCAGACAGAGGCTAACCATCTTTAGGATGCCAGAAAAGATATTGCAACTTTGTAATAGCTGCTTCATTCAACATTTTGCATCGTGCAACCTTCACAAACGTATTGATAGAAAGTGAAACAGCAGTGCAATATCCAAATATATTCAGCACAGGAGTACAGCTGTCCTCTTTGGAGAGGACCACTATAACAGAGAAAAGACATTCACTAAAGAGGTTAAAGGGAAAAGAGCACTTACCCCTCTCACAGGTGCTGTCCCAGAAGCCCGTTCCAGTGCAGTCACAGACGAAGCGGTTCCAGCCCTCCTTGCATGCACCGTTGTTCTTGCAGGGGTTGCTGTCGCACTGTTTTCCCGTCACCTTACTGCAAGAGGACTTGATGCCGGTCGCGTTCTGGGACTGAGCTATCTGCCGGATGTCCTTGCTGCGTCCGTCGATGAACAGATCCCGGACGCAGCCAACGTAGCCGTAGTTCAGCATAGCGGTCCAGAGCTCAGTGGGCAGCACCAGGCCTGCCCGGCTGTCAGGCAGACCACCCAGATAAAGGTTCCCCTCCAGGTCTAAGATCTCATTTTCCCCGCTGGCTGTGAAAGGAGATCGGCGGCTGTTTACTGAGATGATGCCTAGAGAAAGAGAAATACATGATTAAGTACTGGCATAGTCTGCAAAAACCGGGAGGTCAACATGTCAATGCAATGTACTCCTATAGAAAGACTGCTGGGGGTGAGATAATGTGGCACTAATACAGTTACATTTTAAGATTGAGCAGAAAGGATTTTCTCAAACTAGACCCTTTTTTAACCACAAAGCCGTTTTTTAGGCCCCTGCTCAAAAATGACATACCCACGATGAAAAGCTTTTCTCTGCAATCATAAGGTCTATTTGAAAAATATCTGTTATAAATAAAAGACTAGTGAGGTTTTGTCTAGATGTGTGAATATCAGTATACATATATTGCAGTTTAAGACTAAATGAAGATGGCACACTACACAAATGAAAAGGTTGCGCTGCCTGGAGGAACGCTGAGGATCCCCCTGGTCTAACGCATGCGCCCACTCACAGAGTGCGACCCCCCAGTGGACGTTTTAGGAATAGCAGCTAGAAATGCAATGTATGTCTTTCTATGTATGTCCGTCTGGTCTAACGGGACATTGCCATCTAATATTAGTGTTATTTGGGTGCTAGCAACAATGTTTCATAGCGAACTGCTATGGTGTGGGATATTTTATCTTTTGTCAAAAGCGATTTCTGTTGTTGATGTTCTTTGGCTCTGGTATCAGAGCTTCACCAAACAGGGGTTAGCTGTATATCTGCTTAATGCGGACTTTGTGTGTTTAGCTCAAATTAGCGCTAAGCTACGAATGTTCCAGGAAGCTACCTTGGCCAATTCTCGTCATGCGAGTTATGATATTAATAGTTTAGAAAAAACTAACTAGCCTAACTTAGCAAAAACTCAAGGTCAAGGACAAAGTGCCTTTCGCCCACATAGTAATTAATAGTACGACCCATTTATATGGAATGTCACAGACGGAAGTCATTCACTGAACCCCAAAACATTTAGGTTTGACAGGTTTTATGAGTGTAAAAATCTCATTGAATTTTAGTGCACCCTTAGATTTTCAGCTAGTCAAAATATATTACAAAAAATATCATCCCACAACTGCATTTTAGAGGTATAGGTGATCGATTTTTGTTTATGCTCCAAACATACTAAATCATTTGAGAGCCAGACTTTGTTAATACTACTACGCTGAGGATTTTACTTCATTTTTCCAGCCGCTATTTGATGTAACGATTTTTTTTGACAATCTATTCTCCACTGAGAGAATGAGGTGAATAAAAAAAAATATTGTGGCCCAGTCTAGCTGTCCTCTAAGTCATGTCAACACCAAAAATAAATAAAAAGATCACAAAAGAAAAGTGGATTGTTACATCATAACAAGAACTGTAAAGAAAGCAAAGTAGACGCAGGTGAGATATTTGAGACAAGGACAGATGATTATTTTATAGCAGAAGAATACAGCACACTGACAAAATATGCTATTCATTGAGCAGACGTATGTCAGCCGCTTGTCACGCTAGAGAACCGGCATTGTCCTTCATTCACTCCACTGACAGACCAGAGAATTGTAGCGAAGCAGAAGGCTTCATGGTCATAGACAGCTGTTGTTCTACGTCTACTCTTAAGAATTTATCCTGTCGGAAAAAACAGAGAGATTCCAGCTTGAGATATTTGTGGACAATGGGTTTAATTCATTTGCAACTCTTATTAACATTTCACTCAAGCCACGAGTGTGATTATACCTGTTGTTAACCGTCCCTGGTATCCATCTATATGTCTCATTCCTCCTTTTCCTTGTGAAAATCCCACTTTCTGCTCTGCTATCGCACGGGGGCTGTGCCGGTGATTAATCAAAGCGGCGAGCTCTGACACACGGCTAAATTGGCTGCTCTCGCCTGATATATAACGCAGGCTGGAGCTCCGACTAACACACCCTGGTTCTCCGGGGGATCCAACCCTAATGCAGTGTCCCGGGTTTTTTGGAGCTCAAGGCATCAGACGTCTCAAACTCTTTTCTCTAAAACAAACGTGGCATACGTTCTGCGTATTTAGGGTATGTTTTGCGGTAGAGGTCATAGAGATGGAATTAAGTGAGGGGAAACCGAGTCGGTAGCCACGTAGAGAATGTGACTTCACCCCCGGCTTTACATCATTGTTGAAATAATGACACGAAGGAAGGTTACATCATCCTGCGGTTGTGGTGCACTTCAGGGGTTCTTTTCTTGTGAGAATGATTTCGTAGTTCTCTGTAATTGCACAACAAAAGAAACTCGGGTGACGCTTGGGAAATGGAGAATGTCAAGAGGGACAACTGCATGTAATTGGGAGAGAATTGGGTAATTTTTCTAAATGAAATAATTTTTCTTCTCCGAAAGAACTGAAAAAGAAAGTGGCCCAGATGGGAAAGAACAGTATTTGGGGACCTCCAATATGAAGAGATGATGTTATGGCACAGTGCTAGCATCATTATCCTAGCATAGTTGCATTGCTTGAACTTATCCCCAATGTAATGCTGCTTAGCATGGCTAACATGCTAAGCTAAAAGTATTTGTTCTTTACATCCTTTTGAAACTATAATTTTGTTGCCGTGAAGAAATCCCTTTGGGTTGTTAGCCATTGTTAGCCATTGAAAGCAGCTTTTTGTTCTTAGAAAAGAACAAGCTTAGAAAATGAGGATAGGTTCTTCTCATTTTGATATTTTAGACTTCTTGTTAAATGAATTGCTATGATAAAAAAGTATGGTTTCAAATTTGTTTCCGACGATGAACAATAATCTACTACAGTCACCATACTCGTACTGCCGTCACTTATAGGATATATTGCACAGCAGCAAACCTTGTTTCTCCTGGTTTAGTGATGTAGACTCTTTGTTGAACAGCTTGGTCTATAAATTTATACACCGTCAAATGTCAGTGAGAAAGAGAAACGACAAACAATGACATAACGGGAGCCCTGTGCACAGTTTAGACAGGGACCATGAACAGAAATGAACTTCGTATTTCTACTATTGTGTCACCAAAGTACTTATTTGTCAGTGAAGTTTCTGTGAAGACTACATCAAAATGAAAACAAAAAGGTCAGATTTGTATTTCGTGCCCATCCTTACCTGAGCGACCATCCCTCTGGATGTCCACGTGGTGCCAGACGCCGTCATTGACCTTAGCCTGTGTGGCCTTGACCTTGATGGTGCCGGACCCCATGTCCAGCAGCAGGTACAGCCCTCCATCCAGCAGCTCCACCGCGAAGAAGTCCACCTTGTTGTTCTTCTGGCCCTTTGGGTCCCTCCGGTCCTGGGGCTTGCCGTGGGTGAAGAGTATCAAGCCATTGGGTTCGGACGTGCGGAAATCAAACGAAATGGAACCCACGCGTTTGGTGTTCCATTTCGGCAAGGCCAGGTAGGAGTCTGGCGTCTCGAAGTTGATCGGGTCGAGGGTTGGAACGTTTTCACACTTGAAGACCACGTCGCCTTGGAGTTTCATCTTGGGGTCTACGATGCGGGCGAGGCGAGACAGCTCTAGCCTGATGTCATTGTTCTTGTACACCACCTGAGAAAGACATGACAGATGATGATGACCTCCGTGAGATTTGTGTCATTTCATCAGGTTTCTTCACTGTGACTTGCCAGCGCGGTAGTTGCACATTCACGGACAACTGAATCTATGAAAGTACCACCTTCTTAGGCGTCTGTGGATCAATTTGTTTCTCATTGTCTATTCAAACTCCAATTTTCTCCTAGATGAAAAGGAGATTGTATACAAATGCAACGCTGTATTTTCGGTAAATACAAGACCTGCCAAATGAGCGGTGCAGTCTGATAAGTGGTGACTGAATTATCAGAGAGTCATTTCCTGCAATGTTCAAAAACAGCAGTCGTGGTGAACAAGGCTGTCCCTGTGGCCCTGTGCAAATCAACTCTTTGTTGTAGCGATTCAATGACAGTAAATGTGCTCCAACAGAAGTAGAAAGCAGCCCCACATGACAGCCAAATACAACGAAACATCACAGAAGAAGAAAATAGAATGTTGTCAATTGGAATCCCTTGAGGCGGAAAGTGTATGTTTATTTATTTCTGCTTTCCGGAATACGGGGCTGTGTGTGCGAAGGAAACAGCAACACTGTTAAAGGGAGCACAGCTGTCAGCAAACAGACTCTACTGCTGTGGGATTACCGATAATCCTGGAAGATTTGACAGTAAATCAACACAGGGGATCCGAGCACCGCGGAGGACTGACGGGAGGAGGAAGAGAGTGATAGAGTTAAAGACGAGCTGGTGGGAAAAAGGGCAGCAGAGGAGAGGGAAACTTCATGAGAAAGAAAATATGTCAAGCAGCAAATAGAGAGGGAGTGATGTGGATGATTAAATGCTGTCAGGACAAAATGTGCCACTGGCCTTCAAGAAATGCCTGTGTGTGTCTGTAGCGGTTAATGACTACACTTAATAGCCCAAAGAGGACACACAACAACATCTTTAGCACACACCTTGTCGAGCAAGGTGGATTATTTTCTTGATGCATCAATTAATCATTTGTTCCACAGACAAAATCCCGGTTGGCGTCTCAAGTGCCGGCGGCATTACTGCAGTGGCGGAGTGGGAGTGAGTACGCATGACAGCTTAGATGTTTGGGTTTCTCATGGTCAGCGGTCGCCTCATCCGACAGACAAAGGGAGTCTGTGTCTCTGATTATTGTCAATCAGCACAGGTGAACAACTGGGCATTTATATGCGCTTCTTTGAAATCATGAACATGGGATTACAAAAAAAGGATATTCCTCAGAAATGTTGCAGCTTCTCTAGGCCAGAATGCTTAGATGTAACCACCATTACAGACGTCTTTGAAAAACAAATAGCTTGTATTCAAAGCTTCAGACTACTCTTAGGCATAATAACTAACCGAATATTACCCGGAACGAATCAGAGGGGAACTTTTAGATCTTTAAATGCGGCTTATTTGCAGTTTACAATGGTGCCGTCGAGGCCATAAAAAGTTAAAAGGCTCCATCTGCAGTCTCTGTCCTTCTCAGTAGAACTCTATGGAAAGAATATCTCGATATAGCACCGCAGGTATTATTTTGGCAAAACACAAATTCTCCATCAGAGCCTCAACAGTCGGCCCTTCTAGCCTGTTACAATGGCCCTCTCAGACATGACTGACACAGAGCACGAGAGCGAAGCCCCCAGGTGTTCATTTCACCAACAATTATCACATGTGGCACGTGGCAGAGTGGAAGCTGTAAAGGTGATGACTGCCGAGAAGGCCTACTGCCAAATTGTTTTAATTCCCAGCTGGTTTCCTCCCGTGCATGTGGTCCTGGCAGCTTTATACACCCTGTCACTGAGCAGGACCATAACTCTGCCCCTGGTTCTGCCCCTTACCTGCAGAACACTTACCCTTTAGCCAGAAGAAACCATGTAAAATACTAATATCACTCATATCTATTATCTCTATTTGTAGTTATACTTCACAAAATATATATAATATACAACTCAAACTACTAATGTAGTTATCTTTAATCCCGTCTACTAATCAACATTGGTATGTGAAACCATAAAATGGAGCTGAAGGGAACTCCTTGGAGAGGTAAGTGATTTTAACATACAATTCACCCCCATTTATACAAAACTATATAAAGAGAGCAGAACTAATAATGGCTTTATCAAAAGCAGGCCCTGCCTTCAACATCTACACTAAAAGAACAATTTAATAAAACATTACATCCACTGAGCGTGTGTGTGTGTGTGTGCACAAAGTAATGAAAGGGGTTTTCATTACACAGTCATACAGTTTGTTTACTCATCCCTATCTTAGTCTTCGTGACAGCCGAAAACCCTACAAAGTCTCCCACACCGTAAAATGTTATTCTGGGACATCCTAATCTCACAACCGGCAGCTCCCAATCTGTTTTGGGATTATGATTTTGTCTGTTGTGCTGCAGGCGGATCAATACGTGAATCCAAATGATGCCATAAAAGAGGAACTGCCTGCCGCGGCTATATGTACCTCTTCTTTTTCTTCGTCATGGTGGTGCTTTGCTACGTTATCCTTCAGCCTATCAGCCGCCTTATGGGGCCCATTCATAATGCACGCACGGGGACTGGAACGGCTCCATAAAGCTCAGATGGTGTATTGATTGGGCTCTGGTAAGGCTGAGGGGAGGGCAGGTGGTTGAAGTGAGAACTCCACACAGACACAAACACACACACACACACACAATCTCTCCCCTAATCTACTTCAGATCAGTGCCCAGCCACAGCTGCTGTCAGCTCATGATGTTAATGAAGAGGAGGGGTAATTCCACTGAAGAGGAGTGAGAGAGACACACAAAAAAGGTGCTCATAAAACTTTTTAGAGGAGATCTGTATTTCAAACGCACACACAGAGACAGAAAATGCATACATAGGATACTTCTGTAGGGCAGATCAATGGCATTTGGGGAAATATAATGGGAACTGGTGCGACAGCACTAAGGAAACAATTTAATATTCAGTGATAATTACTGGGAATGAATTTGACTTTGGCAATCACATAACAAAGACCGCAACGCGTATTAGTATTTATTGTTAGTGGTAGTAATCAGTGGTTCCCCTGAATAAAAAATAGATTTTCAGAGCATGCAGGCTTGTAGATGGTTCTAGTTTTATGTGCAGAGTTTTTTAACAATTTGCAGCTGACACTTTCCATCCCATTATAATGAAGGTGTTGGAATTCAGGTTGTGTGCTCAACATTTAAAAGCACAAAGAATGCCACTATTACACTGGATGATGTGAAAAAATTGTAACAGCATTAAACATTAAACTTTTTAGTACATACATGTGTTGCATTGTTGCACAATCGACTGCTAGTACACCATGTTGGAGAACAAAGGGGAGAGGTGTGAAAATGGACAGAGCTCTGACTGGACAGGGGCCGCGTCACGTGACCGAGCCCCGAGTTTCATTACCCCAATCGCGCTAGATAGCGTTCTTTCATCGTAAAAAATACTCCTCCCCCTTTCTTTTCATAGCGCACAGCCACTGCTAGTAGTTGCAATCGAGCCTCCCTCGGCTGTTTAAGAGTGTGTACTCAAACGATTTTTGATGTACTCTCCTTCTGTAGTTTAATCAATACTCGTTATTATAGCCCTCCACTCTCTTACGCCCTGTCAGGGCTCTCAAGGGTCCCGCATTGAGCGTGACAGTCACTCATTTCGGCACTCCCACCGCGTTGGATCCTCTTCAACCTCACGGTCAGTAGTAGCGTTCACCCCCCGTAGCGTCCCCACCCCCACCCCCCCCACCTCCGCCGTCGGCGGTATGGTCACCCCCGACAAAACCCCCCCGACAAAATGTCACTCCAAGGTTTTTTGAAAAGTTGAGAGCTCCGCCCTCTGCTGGTTGACAGTAGTTACTACAGTCGCCCCTCAACGCTCGCTAGCTAACTCGTTAGCTTGTTTGGGTGTTAGCTGTTGTGGCTGATAGTGTTGCCGCCAGTGGCAATACCAGCGGCTCAACCAACTTAATAAATCGATATATAATTTACTTCGGATTTTTCAAAAACCAAAACACCTCTAAACAGCACAGATCACTCTTGGGCACAAGTTGTGTTGGTGCATCTCTGGTCTCTCGTTGTTACTCTTGATCTTCACTCTCTCGGTTGGACTTTAACTTGACAGAAAAGAAATCGTCCAGATAAACATAGTAGTTCCAGAGTTACTACACTTTTTATCATGGTACGCCGTTTTGGGAGAGGGGGCCAAAAAAAAGCCTACCTCACAATCTAGCAAGGTTTCAATCCTTGACAGCAAATATCCAATCGACTTTTTTCAGTTATTGTAGGGGTGAGTGAATTTTTGTTGTATAACGCTTGGTTTTGCTTCCCGTGTTTTTACCCATCTATCACTTTGGTCCTCTAAGAGGACATTACATTAAAAGACAGATCATTAATAAGGACAGAGTGACATTTGCATTTGCATTGGAGGGGAAAACAAGATTTGCCTGAACACACTGGTGACTAACACGAACCTGATGACGTCATAGTCCCTCTCAAATGCCAAATGTTAGTCTCTCACCCTCCCTCCTCTTCCTCTCGCTTACTCATCATTCTCTCCGTCCATTTCAGTAATTCTTCTCTTTCTATCTCCTACTCGCGGACATTCACCTCAACTGCACCGGTCCTCTCCTACATTCTGTAGCTGTTGTTTCTTTCGATACTCTTACCTTTTACCCTCATATACTTCTCTGCTTGTTACTCATCACCGTCCTCCAGCATGCACCCCCCCCCCCCCCCCCCCCCCTGCGTTCCCAGAAGAGAAAAAAGTGCATATACCACGGAGTGTGGAACAAGGAGCCGCTGCACCACTCCCGTGCCGGCCCGGGGGCCCAGTGACACCGGTGGGCGGGGCTGGATGGCGTGAGTTGGGCGCGGTTTGACCAGAGAATGAACGGCTGCCCACTGGCCCTCCGTCACGTGACACGCTGCAGCCCACATGGCAGAACATGCGCGTAGGCAGGACATAACATGCCACGTAGCCGTCGGGGGCGTTTGAGTGCAGTGGATACTGAACGAGAGCGGGGTCAGGATGGCAGCACGAGGCATCTCTTTTGTTGTCAGACAGAGGAGGAAGGGAGGCATCCTCTCGCTGCAGCAACTCACGCATCAGCCTTTTCCTCAGCTCGAACCGATGCACTTTCTAAATCTCGGATAAAACGGAGGCCAATGTGCACCAACATTCCTGCTCCCGTTTGAAGCGTTCAAGCCAGACATTACAAACACACACACACACACACACACACACACACACGCACAGACAGAAACAATGAGACACTCTGAGCAACGGCCCTAACACAACTGAATCATCCCCTTGTTATCTGGCAATTTTGAATCCAAAGGACAAGATGGAGGATGCGGGAAGGCATGAATATGGTGTAGGAGAGAAAGAGAGAGGCAATGGTGCATTGGAAGGACATGAAGGTGAATAGAAACCATCCAGTGCTTAGAAGCACACTTCAAGCTGAGCTTCAAGCAACAGCAAAAAAGATATTTTGAACGAATAGAAGTTTTGGGGAACAAATCACACCGCCGGCCGTGAGCAGTTTGCATAGTCCTGGGTAGCAGCTGGCACCATGCCTTCTTAAAGGAGCAAGATCTGATGAAGAATCGAGGATCGCACAACATTACCACTACCCAACCACATAGTAGATCACCTCCATGATTCAGTCCACCTAAAACGTACAAGTCACATCAAAATGAGTCATACTTTTGGGGATAATATTGAAAGAATATGGCCCCTGGTGAAAACCCTTTACGTGCATCCATTTATCTCCTTAAAGTTTCACTAAGCAGTATTGCACATGAGCTGCATCACGCTACAGAACAAGAAGATGTCCAAACAACCCCACGATCTTCAATGGTGGGACCAAATGCAAATTATTTAAAAATCATTTTTTTCATCATTCTGTCTTCACAGATTAGCAATTATCAAACTAAAAAGTAATATAACTACCAGCTTTAGGAAAAAGCCTTAACAAATCTTCGAATCCTCCCACGATGCAAATCTGTAGGTTAATGATCACAGGGACACATAGTGCAGCTGAAGCTCTTCTATTTATTCATGGAGCCTTGGGCAACTGGGCACAGGAATGCCTGGGTCATAGAAATATATGCAATGTATTTGTGTCTATCACCGAGAAAGGGCGACCCCCTCAGTTTCAACATAAAACAATGCAAACAATGAAACTAATCTCATGCCAATCGTTGCTGTGTGTGTGTGTGTGTTTGTGTGTCACCTTAAAACAAAATGATCTGATGGAAGCTAACTCGACTAAATGAAGGGGTGGTACACTGAGGTTGGCACAGGTTGTGATGGAGGGGAAAACATCCAGGAGGAGAAGGGAGAAAACCCAGTCTGAAGCATTCAATCAATTGAGTTTGCTCCTTTTTTTAAACAATTGAAACATTTTGTTGAAATCAGTGTTAAAATGCACTGTATGTAGACATGCCATCAGAACCTTGTGGATTGTTGTGTGCATCCCACATTTTCGGGTAGTGGTTAGAAGTTAAGTTAAGGCACTGATCAATGTATTAGGAGGCATTCCTTTGGTTGATATCTGATCCAATAGACACGCCCACAGGTGCCTTCACATGGAGAATGTTGGGCTCCCACCATTGCATGAAGCCAACTTTCGATTGCCTTGCTGCTGCAGGACATAACCCCTGCCCCCCCCCCCCCTTCCCCTCCCCAAATCAAGCTTTCCAAACTGAAGATGGTCAGTACAAGGTTGAGGCTGCAGTATCCCCTCAGATCAATTTTTCCGAATCGACTTGCGTCGATGAGAGGCTGAAGACAGCCTCCTCACATCGACTTTCCAAGTCGGCTGGCGTCGAGGACAGGATTAAGGATTTCGGTCTCTCCAACCCAAACCATTTTCTAGCTGCTCCAGAGAAGTCCAGCTGCACCAGTCTTCATTTCCGGCCCAAGCAGCTGACCGAGAAGGAAAACATCTTCTACCCCCTTGGATACAACTGGCATGAAACCCAACGCTCATGATCCCCGCAACAAAGGGCCGAGCGGACACCGAGTCAAACGAGACTGGAGGAAACACAGAAAACCTCACCAACGCACAGTCAGGCTACATGTATGTCTGGGCAGAAGTTAGATTAGCATGTGTTGTTATTTTTGTTTTGATGTTTACTGTATTGTTTAACGAGAGATTGTATATTTATGAACTACGTGGCGTGATGAAGTTAAACCGCTATCGTGCCTCACTGTTCCGAATAAGATCTTGCTTTGAGTTTTTCCTTCTTTCTTTTGGTTTCTAATATACTAACCGATACACCTGTCCCTCCACACATATCTACAGACAGGTTTAACTACCTAGTTAGTTGGTGGTTCGAGCCCTGGTTGTTCCATGTCCCATTTTGAAGTGTCCCTGAGAAAGATACCTAACCCCTAATTGCTCCCCGGGCAAAATGTATAAAGCCATGGGTTAAAAATGCAATGTAAGTCCCTTTGGATGAAAGCGTCAGCTAAATGAACCTGTAATGTATTGATCGGTAGCTTAGCGTCCCACTAGCTCCCATCCGCTCTCCCCATCTTATCTCACAGAAACACCGTCCCCGCCACATGCAGGAATGAATGTTTTCATTTGTTGTTTAGATATTAGGAATCCATATAGTAGCTTTTGTTGATTTAAAATGGCATTAGTCAGATTAGTATTGTTGGAAGTTAATAAACCCTGTTATACTTGAAAGAGCAGTTTTCTGTGATTTCTTTGTGCATATATGTACTGCAATGCTGGTTGGAAACATAGCCAGTGTACGAACTCAAGCCTTTCCTTGCTAATCCATTATGAGACTTGATTTATAGTGTGGTTATTAGTCCCTTTTTAGGGTGTTGCCCCGTTATTTATTTATTTTGTGAATTAGCTTAGCGATTATTAATTATTGATGTCAATGATTTGATTTCACACTAGTTATTAACCAACACATTGCCGTTCCCAACAAAATGGTGCCCCGCCTGGATCAACAAGGATCATTTAAAAAAATCGTCTTCTAACCACTCAAAGCTCTTTAACGCGACATGACATCATTCACAGCCATTCAAACGAGAGCTACCATACACAGTGACACCTGTCCATCAGTTGTTTGAGTCTCAGCCAACCCATAACAATGCCAATGAATTTCTCCAATTCACCAAACCCCGACCATGAGAATATAATGTGAGCGTGCTTTAATTACATTGCAATTAAAGCATCGTTCCATACTTCAGCTTCTAAATAAGCATAAAAATAAAAGCGTTATTCTACTCCGGAGACTATTGCTAAGCTGCAGAAATCAATGCAGACTCTTTTACAGCTCCGAGGAGCCACCGGTCCTCCCTTTATTATCAGTACTGTTCCACGGTCACTAATGGTGAGCAAAATCTAAATAACGGGGCATTTAGTATCTTATTTTTTCCTCTGCTCAAAACCTCAGAGGGCCAGCCAATCCATCATAAATATCCCTAAACAACAAGGCTTTTTCACCATGAGCAAATACTTCTCTCAGATTGTGGCCCATTGGAGGCGCGTTCAAGCTGATACTGCAAATTACATGCGACATATGCAATTTGGGGATATTTTCCCACACACAAACCACAGCAAGTCGTATGCATTACAATAAGCCATGGAATATTGACTGTATGATACTTCCTCTGCAAACTCAGCAACTTATTGATAATGCACTTTTCTATGTATTCGTCGTCTTACCTCTCGCAGGCAGCCCATGAAATTGTTGCTAACTGGAGATCCAGGCAGGTCAGCGGTGCTGGGGCTCCCACCCACGTAGAAGAAATCATCTGAGCCCAGCATGGTGTAGTCTTCCTGGGTGTAGCCGGTGGTGGTGAGGATCCCATCAACGGAGATAGTCACCTGTTGAGGGGCAACACATAGCCGAAGCCAAGCCATTACACTCTGGGACTCGATGGCGTGCTGTGCTCATAACACACCTCCTTCCTTGGTCTGCATTGGAAATGAGTTCTTCGAGCTTGTCTTTAGGTCCCTCACTGTAGGTTGCTTTAAAGAATCCTTTGGTACCTTGTTGCGTTTGTTTTGGACCAGACAGCGTTTGGATTTTGTCAAAGGAATCTTTGCCATAGGATTCACAGGACAGCTAAAGAAAATATGACAGAGGCATATTTTCTTTATCTTTGATGGGGTAAGAGAATGGATCATAGGTTTGGTTCTGAATCTTTAGGTTGGGGGAGGGTTAGTACAATGTTCAAACCAAGGACAAATTGATCGCACTTGTCTTAGGTATCAGGATTTATCTGGTAACTGCAGACACACACATATACAGTACACATACATGTCAGCGCACACACGCACGCACACACACACACACACACACACACACAAAATGTCCACACTCGCCCTTACATTTTCACACACCCATTTTCACACCATCCGTCTCACATCCTCCCCTCTCTTGCAGACATCTACATATTTATCTACACACGTGCAAAACAAAGGGAGGATTTCCACACCACATCAATGTGCAAACCACGGTCATCACTGTCAGATCGAACTCAACCACATTTAATTGGACATGTACGGGAGAAAGTGGATCAATGGTGCCATTCAGAGCTGGACCAGGCCACACGGGTGCAGAGACTCATGCACAATCAGGACCCATATTCAAAGCCACTTTTGGAATAGCTGATGCTGATCTACGATCAGGTCTAGCTCAGCTGTCAGTTGCATTTTCGTTCACAGACTGAGACCGATACTCTCATCAGTATGCTTATTCGTAGAAAGGTTTTGTGTATGGGTCCGGGGGATTGGGTGATCAGGGTTAGCCACAACACACCAACACTACTTTCACCAGCATGCTACAAACACACACACGGGGGAGGGGGTGGGGGCAGTGAGCGAGAAGCTGACAGGTGGGACGTGAGTGAATTAGAGTGTTAGTGGTTATTTTTGGGTGGCAGGGGTGAGGATATATGAGTTTGGGAGATGAGAGGTATATGAGGTGTGGGCATGCCATGCGCCATAGTGAGTTGGAAACAACTGTCAGAGCTCCCGCAATGAAGGTTAAGGGTTCCCATTTTTTGGTCTCCTTTAGGGTTCGGTGTCGAGGTCACCATCTTTGGAATTGTGGAAAGCTTCTGTCAGTTCTGGACGACAGTCCTCACAAAAAATGGGGACTTTTTGTGTGAAAAAAAAAAAAAAAATTAATAAAAAGTAAGTTGCCTTGACAAAGGCAAAGAGTTTGCTTTTAGTTGTTGTAAATCTGCAGTTATGTGGAAGAAACAGAGAAAAACGTAAACGCCAAAGTGAAAAAAAAAAGATGTGGGATTGTGGGGTAAAGAAGGAGGTTGTTGGCGGGTCAGAAGAAGAAGCGAAGAAAGAATTGCCTTGGTAATACAAACCCATCTCCTCATTTTTTGATAAGAGTGTCTAGGATGGAACTCAAAGAGAACGAATAAAAGAAGAGAGGGGGAGGGGACACACGGCAAACCCAAAAAAAAGACAATAAGAATGATATCTACCAGACAATGTAGTTTGTTTACCATAGCGTGTCCAATGCCTGATTGCTTTCCAGAAAAAGGGGAAGAAAGGAAATCAAAAGAATAGTAAACAAAAATGGTTGTTAATAAGGATGGACAAAAAACAAAAAAAACAAAAACAACGATGAAGAATTAGGATGTTAGTTAGTACATTAGTTGGTTAGATATTGGTTACTTTTTCATGGATGAGTTAGTGTTTGGGTGAAAAAAATACTACAAGATTTGTCAGATTTGAGATGTGGCTCTAGTAATAAAGAGTCAGCTCGCCATTATGGACACATTTTCTACAGCAACAGAGGTACGGTAACCAAGTCGGGGACTTTCACATTTATTTTGTGTAGGACAACTTCAACCCCAACAGGACATGTAGTGTTTTTTTCACCCGTAGTCTAGCAAAGACTTTCAAAGAGCAAGAAACGTGATACTGGTAGAAAGGACAGGGCTGTAAAAAGACAGAATAAAAAGCAGACAAACAGCCCCTGCTTCTTAGCTTCTAACCTACTAAACGGTGTTATCCTGTTGGGATTCTCCCTACACATGTTTGCTATCCTGTGGGGCAAAAGCTTACAGTCAGCAAAGGTCAGGAAATCAGCACTTACTCTGAGAGCAACACTAAATACTGTCTCACCTTGCAGACAAACTAAAAGGTCAACCAAGACAAGAAGCGAGTGCCAGGCCCACCTCCATACAGTCTCATTAGTCTGCACTCCCTCCCTGCAGCCTGCTGCAGACAGCACCCACTCACACCAGCTAAAACCCACATCCTGACCAATATCCGTCAAAAACCAAATCCCGCTCAGGTACAACTCACACACATATTTGGTGGAAATATATTTTTATGTATATAAAGCACCCTGATCATCTGCGCTATAAATACTGCGTTAATGGCAAACACGCTCGCCCGGCTTTAAAATGACTCTATATTCACCACATGAACTAAAAAACTCCTTCTGAGAGTGCGCAGATAGTGACAGCGGTGTCAGCTGAGGGGAGAGTGAAGTAAAATAAAAATGATCAGCTCACTTTCATTTCAGGACACATGGATCTCAAGTTCAAAACGCCAATAAACTGGACAGAGGAAAATGCCCAGAGGAACGGAACCCTGACTTAGCTATCAATCACACGACAGGACTGCTGGGCGCTGCTTCTTTCTACAATATATTAACATGAACAGAAAATTCAACAATGATGCAAAATCAAAGACAACCGAAAGCAAAATGAGATCCATCTCAATATTGTAGCTGGAGTGTGGCGATGAAATGGCAACCAATCAGAAAAGGGTGACATTGTTAACGCCGGCGCTCTCTCAAAAGCTCCTGGAAGCAGGTTATCGAAAGTGAGAAAAAGTGCACCGCTCTCCAAACCCCGTCCATCACTGCTGCCCACGATTACCTGTCTCAGGTTGCGAGTCACTTTGATGTCGTGCCAGGCGTTGTCGTTGAACTTTCCATTGACCGGCTCCACGATGGCCTCAAAGGCCCCGGAGCCCAGATTGATGACGAGGGAGACGGCCCCGTCTTTCAGCGCCAGGTTGACGTAGTCTGCGGATTTGCCCGTGTGCAGCAGGAGGCCGTTACGCTGCCAGGTCTTGAAGGACAGCGTGATCTCGTCGCTGCTGCTCTGAATGGGGTTCTGCGACAGGTCGTAGCAGAAGTACTCCGAGCCCCGGAAGGTGGCCACGTTCTCCTCCCTCGCTGAAACCACAGTAAATGTTTGATTTAGGATCGGTGGAAGGCAAGTGTCACATTGTCACAAATTCACATTTACCACATGAGGAATAACGATTCAAATATGCATGACGAGGAGAGTCCACAAGTCATTTTCACATTCATTAACGCATAATTAAAAATATGAAACCAGTTCATCAGTCATGAAGCAACATCAGTTAATATGAGACTCACTGGATGCTGCAGAGAATGTGACAACAAGCACAAACAAAATGCACTGCTCACCGTAATCGCAGCTTTGAAAATCCCAATCCTCAAATCCTATCTGTCCGGCCGTGGGTTTTGCTTTCGCATACAGCCTCCAGACAGACAGGTCACTTATGATGGAAAACTATTCCCTGCTAATGGTGCGCATTAATCAAACTTAGCCTGATTTTACAGTTTTATCTCTCTCCAAAGTGACTTTCTGGGGGGGACAGAGGAAGACTAAGGGAGCAAAAAGAGAACGTGAAGACTCTCACAAAGAAGAAGTAGATGAGCGGAGTAGTGTTCGGGTCCAGGTTAAGCTATTAGAGACAAGGTCATGCTCACTGTCGACTGCATTACAGCGTGTGTTAAACAAGCTACGGCACCATCGACTCCAGGCTGGATTCTTCCTCCAAGTTCACGGTGTTCAAGGAAACACCTTTCACAAATTACAACCTTGAGGAAAAGCCCTGCCAACATACCAAGCTCACTAAGCACCATGGCAGTTAATAACAGAAATATTTCACATTTTTCAGCTTGACATTTCATTTCCTTTGTGTCCCGAATTTTCTTTATGGTGCTCAGAAGTCGTGGAAACAAAAAGAAAAAAAACGGAAGCGAGGGAGTTATACGAGCTGCACGTTTTTGTGGTTTTGGATCAAGCTACATGGAAACATCAGGCAGCAGTGAAACATACAGATACAGAAAAAGGGGAAAAACGAGATAGAGAACGTTCAGAGAGAAAAAAGAAAGATGGTGCTGAAGGCTGATTGGTCGGCGATTGCTGGGCCGCGGAAACATTCTCCCCCCTCGGCAGCAACGAGTCAAGAGGAAACAGCATGGGGGGCAATGAAAGCCCCGCGAAAGCCCTCCTCCATGTACCAGGGGAATAAATAGCAACACATTAATACCACTGGGACAGACCCACACAGCTTTACAAAGGAGAATAAATACATAGTTGATATTCCTATCAGCCTTTGTCATTTTTGTGCTAATTGGCAAACACTTAGTCTATTTTAAGACATGGAACAGCTTAAAAAAGATCCCCACGCTGAGCTTCAGTAGTTTGCATTGTCACGGTGAGCATGTTAGCATATAGATGACAGCCAACATTCGGCCTAATGTTGGCCTTTCATTTACCGGAGCACTTATGGTTTATGACGGGAGATGCAGTCATCAGCCAGAAGGAAGTACAGGGAACGAGTGCTTAAGTGCAGCAGACTTTCACACAATCGCTCGCAAACGCTTTCTCGCATCCAACCAGACAGAGCGAGAGGAAAGACTTAAGAGCTACGCTGGCCAACGCTCGGAAGTCCGTCCGCTGCCCGGCCAAGGAGCCGGGGACGGGGTGCGACGGGATTCGGGGAGGGATCGAGCACCAATCTTGTGGAGCGGGACAGTTGGTTCTTAGAATAATTTCCCCTTTTAGTAGATAAAGAAATATTGGGTTGCTATATTACCACATTTTCCTTGCTTCCAGCTTCTCTACTTTCCCATGAATTTCTCTACTAAGTGAGTATACTGGAATAAAAGGCTCTCAGCCTATCGTGTGTTAGACTCCCTGTATTTGTATTCATTAAAATCATTTATACACCAAGTTGTCGTGGAGCCGAGGAAGACTTTCAATAAAACATTGTTGCTATGAATAATAGAGAGAGCAAATTGCTATAAAGTAATATGTGTTTATCTCAGCGATATTAAACCGGAGGTAAGTGCATAAGAATCCATAAAAAGCAGAGGAAATGCATTGGCTGTTGAGACATGTTCTGTATGGATCAGTGGCCTTCTAATCGATCAAAGAGCAGGGTCATTTTCGCTTATTTTCGCCAGAGTCATCATTATTCCATCCGTGTGCAGCTTGCCTTATGCACTGGGGTTTCGATTTCAAAATCCAATGGAAGCAATTTTTTCCTTCATTATCATCTGCCATTCCTCTCCGCTCCCCTTCGGCGAACACACCAACGCCGCCTGATACGCTTCCCAAGTCTGATCCCAAGGGCATCGGAGACGAGAGTGCTGTCACCTCACAGAGCTCCGGTCCTCAACCTTCAACCTCCCCGAGATGAGCACAGGGTGTCCCACTGCCCCTCATCACTGCGGGAGGCCAAATGCTTCAGGCACGCGAAAGGGAAATTAGATGAGTTAAATGACAGGATTAAAAACTGGAGGCGGTGTGACTTTTGTGCCAAAACAACAACTTCAGCTGAAGATGCTCGAGCTGTACGACGGAAAAGCCAATGAGCTCACTGCAGACGGAACCATAGCTCGGCTGCTCAAACCAACACCGGTCACAAGGAGACTTCTCTGGTTGAGTGAGCTCAATTCATGCTTCAACTGCATGTTTGCACTACATTTGAAAGTAAACAAGCCTGATGTTCCAGACCTAAACATAGAAAGGTAACTTCTGCTTTTAGCTATTGTGCTCTGCGAGAAACCATCAGGAACCAAAGTCATCCAAGGTGGTGGTCTCATCCCACACAATGCGCTTATGAGGATCAGAAAAGCCATGCCTAACTCATATCCATATCACATCCTTCCTCTCGGTGCAAAATTAGCATCATTCGCTAATAAAAGTTCAAGCAGCACAGATAGCCTGACGCAGCCCAACAGGAGCAGTGCGCTTCACTGCTTCCTGACACGCGGCCAAATAGAACCATGCAGCTCTGCAGCTTAAAGCTCCACGGGGGGCGATCACATGTCAAGAACATTAGGAGGGCAACGGCTGATGTGTCTCTTTAAAACAGAGGTCTTCAACAGGGGGTCCGAAATTGTTGGTTAAGACAATTTTTTTCCACAAATTTAAATGTCTTCAGAATCAGAATCGTATTTCTTGTCTTCTTTATTGTTACACATTAACATAAATCCAACATATTGTGGCGAATGGATAAATTAATGGAGAAGACGTCATCTTTCAGTCCGCAAAACACACATCCAGCTTCCCACAGCAGCTCTCAAGCTCCGGTTCACTCACAGCTCCTTTAATGCTGATACGACAGCAGATCACGTTCATGCTCACGTCAAAGCGCAAAGCTCAAAAATAAAAGATGGCGGACAAAAATAGGGGGTCCCTGCTCCGACTCGCCATCAGTTTGGGGGTCCTTGGCCTGAAAAACGTTGAAGACCCCTGCTTTAAAAGACAGGCAACACTGTCAGACAGGCATACATACGTATATATGTAGATAGAGAAATATATGGGGCTGTTAACATTCATCTTACACTTGAAAATGCATTAATCAAGATTAAAATTGTACAAATTAGCAAGTATTTTTTTCTAGACAGACACTGTTGTTTTTACTCTATTTTAACACAAAATTACACACATTTGATCATCACCAAGAGAGAATTCCACCAGGTGGAACATCTTGAACCAGCGACTGCTGTCCAGAAAAATAGAAGTGAATAAAAACAAAAATATTTTATCGCATTAATCTTGGCCACATTAATCGCATAGCTTAACGTGTTCATTTTGATAGCCCTGATATACATATATATATATATATATATACATATATATATATATATGTATATATATATATGTATATATATATATATATATATATATATATATATATATATATATATATTATATATGTATGATGTCTGAATGTGTGTTCTATTCATGACAACTCTCATGATGTCACATGACATATCCGAGAAGTTGAAGGGCATCTTGTCTTTCCTGGCAGAGCAGCGGCGGACAACGTGTCTGCGATTGTCTCTGCTTGCAGACGACAAAGAAGCCGAGACAAAGAAGGGAAGAGTGACAAATAGAGAGACTACAGAGATAGATAAACATAAACAGAAGTGACACAGAGGATGCGAGAGTCTGGAACAAAAGGAAGCCAGAGATAGAAGCCGTGGCTGCGAGGGAAACAGAGAAAGGGAAGACACAGGCAAAATAAAAGCAGAGAGAGACTGAGAGACAGAAAGACAGCAGGAGAAGCAGACGGACGGAGAAAGAGACAGAAGTAAAACAAGGTGAGACTGTGGCTCACGACTCCAGCCCCGATGAACCTTTTTACTAAGACTCAGCACACCGAAGCCCACCATCTTCTTCTCTCCGTTCCCCCCACAGAACACCAAAACACGACACTCGTCACTTAAGCACATGCTGATTATGAGGAATGAGGCGTATTGAGCCACATCCAGGCTGAAGGTTTTCTTCATTTGAAAAACAAATGTGAAACTGAAAGTGTTGGTCGTGAACATTGAAATATAAAACACTGAATTCAAAATAAAATTAAGTGGACAAAAAGTATTTTTGGGTTGAATATAGTTTTTCCTCCGTTCTTTAATTTTCTTTCATTCTTCACTTATATATATTTTTTGATATTCGCTGTATTATATTTTTGGGTTGCAGATTTTTTTATTATTTAAAATCTTATATTTTTAATTTTTTGATTTTTTTTATCACCGTTAAATCTTTTTTTCAGTCAGCCTCGTTGCCCGTATCTGGCGTAGGGGGCGCAATGAGAGGGGCGTGTAATCATGAGTGAACGCGGCGAAGCGTTGTTAAGACAAACACTCTAAAAGCGCTTCACAGCGACACCACTACGGCTACAGTGAAGCATCGTTTGCGTGTTAACGCTTCACTGAACCCGGCTTTTTTGGTCTTTTTTGCCATTCATGGCAAGCAGCTAAAAAACGGCCAGCTAATCAAATCTTTGTCAGTGGCGTCAATGGTATTACATCCAATTCTAAATAAAGCGTATAGAGAGTGTTGATTATGAACTCACTTGATTGCTGTGAAAATTAGAGCAGACAACTAGTTTCAATAATTG